GGCAACATACTGGAGACACAACAGACTCCTGATTCAATGACCTAATCATACTTGTGTACACTGTAAGCTATTGTAGGCCTACTTCATATGGTATTACTTTAAAACTTCTAAATTTAAAATATATACACCTCAAAATATTCTGTGAATGATACCAAGTGACAATTAAAGTGACCGTGTTGTGAATGTGATATTACCCATTTCAGTGTCATTGACTCAAAAGTTAATTTTTTTAAATGAATTTTTATTAAGAAAAATAAGTTTATCCAATGTGTTGGCATTTAGTCTATTACGTTTTTGGACATTATTTCTGTCATGTCCCTGAGCAGAGGTGAGTTCCACCATCTCCTCTCATCAGAATCTGAGTTCATTCTCCGCAGGTGGGGAGCAGAGGGAACTACAGCTGCAGACGATTCTCTAATCAGGAAGGCGGGTTTAAAAGAAGGACGGAGACACCCATTTTGCCGGATGATTGTACCAGTTCAGGTAGCACCAGCCACTCGCCTTGAAACTTAACTCGTGTTTTGACTCGCCTTCGACTTTGGATTATTGACCTTGGATTTTCGGATTTGGATTATCCCTTACACCTGTTTGTCCTCGCTCAGGATCACCTCGTCATCTCCTCACCCTCACTGTCTTCACTTCTGGATCATTCAACACGTCTCGTCCTCCTCCGTCGTTCCTGCTCGGATTTCCCTCTGCTGCCTCACTCCGAAATCTCTCACCCTCTGCTCAGCGTCCTTCCTGGCTTCCCTTCCACTCATCATTCTACCTGAACCCCTCAAAGACTCGAGCCGTCTTGGCTCCTCAGCACAGGACTTCCCTGTTGCAGTTTTCAGTTACCGTTTATAATGAAGACATTTTTACTTTACTACTTTGGACTTGTGTGATGATTCTGCATGTCTTGGGTTAGGCACTTACCTCGAGCCCATGACAATTTCACCAGCTTTCGAAAACTGCGTGTCACCAGCGTGCCTTCAGCAGAGACAAGAGAACAGATCACGTCAAAACTCAAAGGACTGAAGAAGTTTAACTTTTCACTGTTTCTTTTTACATGCAGGTGCAGCCAGGTAACCCTGAAAAATAAATCCTGTTCAGATGTGGCTTGATCACCTGAAGCCTTTTCAAGAGTCTGGCTTGTTTTCAACACCTGAAATGCAGCTTCATCACAGCCGTTATGGACCTTCTTTTGGAACCTGAACAATCGAAGCCTGCATTGCCATTAACCTGCTTTATTCCCCCCAAAACTGTTTGAGTTGCAATACAAAACATTCACAAAAGGCTTGTGCATTTGAAGGTTTATTGTTCTAATGAAACCATGATGCTTTCTTGGATTAACTGAGCATTTTGTGGCCCTTTTGTAAAAAGGGCTTCTGTTGAATCTGGTCAACTGAACCTGCCCACCCAAAACACTTTATGACTGACTTTGTGAAGACTTCAGATAAGCACACAAGTTGTGAATGCAACATAAGCTATAATGGCTGCAAACAGTGATTTAAAAAAATGACGTTTTAAAGTTGCCTGTATGCTCTCATTTATCCTGCATAGCCTCTGACTGAAGACACTCTTGTTGAGTAGTCTTGTGTCTCTGGTTTTTCTCTAGCTGCCTCTTTACCTGTGTGGCAAGGTGGAGAAACGAGGGCCTGGGCGAGATTCGATTCCCAGACTCCCGGGTGAGAGTCATACGCTCTAACCAGTCAGCCAAAGGGACATCCCCGTGGCCAAATAGCCAGGGCGCATGATCAATCAGGACATTGTGACAGGACGCTCACACTGTCACACCTGACTGCTAAAAAAAACAGGCAAGAGGGGGAGATGAGGGGAGCAGCAGCATCTCCTAAAGTGATTCACAGAACAAAGGCGAACGTTCACAAGTGATTTAAGCCGGGCGTACACTGTGCGACTTTTTCACTCGTAGCACTCAGCTTTAGCTCAAACTGTACGACTTTCTCGCAGAGCAAATCTCACGAGTCATGCGCTCACACTGTACGACCCAGTTCTCGGATGCGACCTGACTGCTCACACTGTAGTCTGGTAGCAACACGTCTGCTAAAAATAGCACTTTTCACTCAACACGTCAGGCTTTTTGTCTTGTTTTGCCTGTTGTCCTTCGGGAGTGCTGCAGGAGGACACACAGGGATTTATGGAGGTTGGATGAGGAAAACGAAATAAAGAAAGTAAATCTGTGTTTTGTGATCAGTTTAATTAGACATGAACACGACAAACACGCTTTCTTGACAATCTTTGTGAGTAAAAAAAAAACGTGTAGAAACAAAAACGAACAGCGTGTGTTATTAGGGAAATAGCGGGCGAGCGGAGTTGATGCAGGATTGCGCATGCGCCGTGAGCGGTTCTGATACTTTTTGGGTCGCAGCTGCTCGCAGCACCGCTTCAACAGTGCTATACCCTCACGTGGGACGTGCAAAATATTAAACACGCCAGAAGTCCGTGCGAGCGCAACGATTGCTGATCGGTAGCTGGTCACGTGGTGTTAATCGCCTCTCGTAACCCCCGTACACTACACGACGCCTCGGCGCAAAACCCGCCCCGATGTCGTGGCTTCTCGCACGAGTGGAAAATAGGCTCAAAAAGGTGAAAAAGTCGCACAGTTGTTGCTCGGCTTAAGAATGCTACGTGAAAACAACGGTACCAAATGGCGGATCTCTGGTAGAGCGAGGGGGGGGGGCGGAGCCAATTGGCAGCTCTCTGGGAGTTCTAGAGTTAATCATCCCAAAACAGTTTACCTTCTCTAGCCTTGCCACCAGAAAGAGTAAGCCAAATAATTCCTCCCTCCTTATGTGCTGTAAAATTATTCTTGTTCTGTTTCATGAAATAATTTATTTCACTCTACAGGTTGTTTAAAATTATATTCTGTTTCATCTAAGGTGATTTCAGTGGTCTCCTTCAAAAAGCGGAGAACTCACCTGTTCAAGCTAGATTTTCGTGACCTTCGTTGCCACCCTTTCCTTATTTTGCTCTTATTTTGCTTTCCCGGGATTCACCGATTCTGTCTTTCCCATTAAATTTTTCTCTCCCTTTCTGTTGTAGTGCGATGTCTATCACTACCAATGTCTATGTGGTTGGAGTTCAAGACCTTCAATAAAAAAGGGAAGTGCGGGTTCCTCCTCCCATGTTTGTGTGCGTGTGTGAGGCTGCAGGTGGCGTCGCGGGGCGCTGTGAGCTTGTTCATGCACTGGGAGAGCTGAGGACATGTGCACGTGTTCTGTACAATCGTGTCCTTATTTCACGAACTTAGTTTAAGTTAAAACGGCAGCTTCCAGTGTGAGCAGAAGAGGATGTCCACTCCTGCTGAGGCGTCGGGAGCGACCGACCAGAGACGGAGAGATGCACCTGCTGGCACGAGTACAACAGGTTATGGGCCCAGGCATGCCCAGCAGCACACCCAAGTATATGGACGCGGCCCGCCGCCCCGCTTCGACGGAGATGAAGCGAGGTACCATATATGTGAAGCGAGGTTTTTGGCCTATATGAAGACGTTAGGCCTAAAGGACACAATACTCTGAAAGGACACGAGCGGCACCGAACACACCAGAGACTGTGGAAGTCGGTAAGAGGAACGAGCTAGCATATGCTGAACTCTGCTGTTGTCTAGACGACAAAAAGCTAATGCTAATACTATATGAAGCTCCAGACAACGGAGAGAAAAGTCTAGAGATATTAAGACGTCACTTTGAGTCCGAGGAAAAACCGCGCATCGTGGGACTCTACACAGAGCTGACTAACGTGGTGATGGCACCTGGTGAGGAGCTGGTGGACTATTTGACACGTGTGGAGAAAATTATCGCGGCATTAAACAGAGCAAAAGAGACGCTAAGCGCGACGCACTCTTGGTGGCAATGGTGTTAAAAGGCCTGACGGAAGAATATGACCCGTTCACAGTGCATGTAACACAGACGAGAGACTCTCTCACGTTTAATGAGTTCAAGGCCCGGCTGAGAAGTTTCGAATGCACGTTACGCTACCGGAACAGACCTCGTGCAGATGAAGTGATGGCGACAAAGCACAAAAATGTTCAGCCCAAAGAGAAAATAAAACAAGGAAACATTTTGATGGAGAATGTTTTATCTGTGAGAAGGTTGGTCACAGAGCAAGAGACTGCAGATTAAAGAAGAAGAGTAACTGGAAACAGTCCAGCACTGTGACGCGGGACAACAGCGAGACCTCTACTGTTACAGAGACTGCACAGGGGAACAGATCTCCAGAAACAGGTCACAGGTGTGAAGCTAAAGAAAATAGCTCTTTTCTACTCAAAGTAAATGAGTACAAACCTAAAGACACAACGCAGAGAGGACTCCTGATTGACAGCGGTGCTTCCACTCACATCATCACAGATGAAAAAGCTTTCATCCGGTTCGACAAGGCGTTCCAGCAGAAGAGGCACGTGATGGAGATGGCAGACGGCACGTGGCACACTGGCAGTGTTTCAGCGCGGGGAGACGCTCAGCTGGAGGTGACTGACGACACGGGAAAAGTTCTGAAGATAATACTGACCAGTGCTCTCCTGATTCCTGAGTATCCACAAGACATTTTGTCTGTGGAGGCAGCAGTGTCAAATTGTTGTTTGCCAAGTGCCATAAGACCACAAATAATAAGAAGAAGAGAGGCAGGAGCGTTCGTAACAAACTCAAAGCGATAGTCAAAACATTAAGCATGAAATGGAGTTATCCTAGTGGCTCCAATAAGAGAAAGAAGCAGCATGCTTCATAAAAGCTTTTATTTTCACTGAAAGTGACGTCGTTTTTCGCTGTAAACATCAAAAGGAAACAGAAAGGAAAGACAATGGAAAATGTTTCAAGGGAGGAAAACATGGACCAAAATGGAAAATAGAAAAAAAAACTAAGGCTAAAGCACAGGAGCACTGACAGGAAGAAGAAAGCAGAGCAAATATTGAAGGCACTAAAAGGGAGAGAAATACAGGAAAAAAGAGGAGGTCTAATAAAAAGTGAAAATAACTCATGTCAGAAGAGAGGAGAGTTTTGCAAATCCAGTTAAAGGTCAGATTGTCAAATTTAGTGTAAGGGGCCCCATGTCTGTGTTTGCCTTGGGCCCCCAAATTGCTAAATCCACCCCTGCAGATGGCTCCACATGTAGGCTGAAGGTAAAGGACAGCTCATATTATTTGGACGCTACACCAGCAACTGTTTCAAACAGCAAGGATTCCTGTAACGTATGTCTTGATCTGAAGGAATGTCATGAGATTATGGGTCATTGTAATTATGGAGATATTTTGAAGCTCGAACCCATAGTAGAGGAGATGGAAATCAGAGACAAAGGTAACAAAACTAACCGATGTGAAACTTGTGTAAAAGGGAAATTTATCTTGACAAGAATCAAGACAGCTGACATAAGGGCTAAAGCACCCTTAGAGCTGGTGCACACTGGTTTCGGGGGTCCCACTTCTCCAGAGTCATTTGAAGGTTTTAAGTATGCTATTACTTTTGTTGATGACTATTCTGGTACTATTCATGTGTACTTTCTAAGGAACAAGAACAAAGCAGTCCAAGCTACACAGCAGTTTCTAGCAGACATGGAACCATTCGGAAAGGTTGAACGTCTGGGGTCAGATAATGGAACTGAGTTCATGTCAGAGGAGTACCAAACTTTGTTGAGAGAAAATGGCATCAGACATGAAAGGTCAGCCCCATACTCTCCCCACCAAAATGGGACGGCGGAGAGAAATTGGCGCACCTTATTTGAAATGGTCAGGTGCATGTTGACAGAGTCAGGGTTACCTAAAGCCGGGCGTACACTGTGCGACTTTTTCACTTTTTGAGCCGATTTTCCACTCGTGCGAGAATCCACGACATCGGGGCGAGTTTTGCGTCGAGCGTCGTGTAGTGTACAGGGGGTTACGAGAGGCGATTAACACCACGTGACCAGCTGCAGATCAGCAATCGTGAGGTCGCGCGGACTTCTGGCGTGTTTAATATTTCGCTCGTCCCTCGTGAGGGTATCGCACTGTTGAAGCGGCGCTGCGAGCAGCTGCGACCCAAAATGTATCAGAACCGCT